AAAAAAAAAAAAAAAAAAAAAAAGACTGAGCGTATGTATGAATCCATACAACAGAGAGGACGAGAGTTTGAGCTTTTAGAATTTGGGTTTGAATCCCAGCTCTGTGTATATTTCCCAAAGTATCCTAATGCTCCTGAACCCACATTTCTTTATCAAGTGGCGGTGACATTAGTCATTGCTTATCTATTGCTATGTATGTTAACAGATTACTCCTGAATCTAGCAGCTGACAGCAACAAACATTTATTATCTCAGACAACATCAAGACTCAAAAGTCATGAATCCTACAGTGGCTTAACCGGGTGGTTGCCAGAGTGTCCCCTGGGGATGCAGTGAGGCTGACGGCTTTCACTGAGGTCATAGGAGGGCTTGATGAAGGGTTGGACGATCAGCTTTCCAAGCTCACTCCCGTGCCTGTTGGAAAGAGGCCTCACTTGCTCAGCGTCTGAGGTTGTCTAGGGCTGTTCATGACATGGGCAGCAGGCTTCCCCCAGAGTGGTTGACCCAGAGAAAGTGAGCAGGACGGAAACCATGATGTCTTTCATAACCTAGTCTCCAAGTGGTGTGGCATCACTTCTGCCATCTTCTGTTGATAACGCAGACCAATCCTGGAACCGTTTAAGAAGGGACTTCTAAATAATAAGGAGATGAGGAGGTGGGATCCTCAGGGGCTATCTGGGAGGTAATAGTCACCTTCTAAGGCTGTCAGGGCCAGTGAGTGACAACGCAGGTTAAAGAATAAGCCGAGTGCCTGGCACATGGCCAGTGTTGCTCATTTATAATGTCTGGTGTGTGTAAAAGCCCCATCTCATACACATTTAATAGAACAAGAAGCTGCTCAAGTTGTCTAAAAGGACTGTGCTATAGAGAGCTAATCTGTTCCTCTTGATTTAAGATTTTCTGCTAGTGGCTAATATTATGCCTTTTAATTTGATTTTTAATAGTTTTGCTCACAGAGGCTCATCTCTTACTTTACCTGGTCCCACAACTGCTGATTTGGGGGGAAGTGTCCTATTTGCAACCTGTAATGCCCACCCCTGTCCGCAGCCATTCTGAAGCTCTCAGGTGGATTGAGTAACTAAAAGATACAAAATCAGCATTAAGAGATTATCTTGGGAACCCTAAAATGTATACTGGTATTTTAAGTACTAGCAATCATAGCTCTACATTTATTCAGGAAATCTGTATCCAATACCTACTGTGTTCTTGGTACTATACATGATATTAGAACCACATTAGACCCTGGAAGAAATTCAGAGATGATATCTGCTCTCGAGGAAGTTCACTGCTGTAGGAGACGTGAATAACAATGACAATATTGTATGCTTAGCACAATAGCACAGGCTGCTGCAGGAGTGCAGAGGAACTCGGCCCACATGTGAGGGCCTCGAAAAGTTTTCCCACAAGAGCTGATGTGCAATGGTATCTCAGAGGAAATTCACCAGATGGTGAATTGTGGTAAGAATGTTACATGCTTCACTCGCTCCCTCATTTAGAAGACACTTTTGAGGGCCTGCTATGCTCTGAGAAGGTGCTAAATGCTCAGAATATGAAACTTGGTAAGGCCCTGTCCACAGTGAGTTTTTTCTCTAGTAGGGGATAATAGATGAGAAGGCGGAAAACATGCAGAATTACGGTAGTTATCGTGAAGAAATTGTGTAGGGTAAAGATAGAGGCCAATTGTAGTGGGAGAGGGTGCTTCAGAAAGAGTTCACAGATGAGGAGAGTCTTACTCAGAGTGAGTCCTCAAAGATGGATAACTGTTTGCTACACCGTAGGTGTTGAGGGGCAGAATACGTGATGAGACAGAACAGTCAAGAGATAGCAAGGCTTAATCTGGGAAATAGAGGTGTTGCAGCAGTGGGTCCAGACCAGGTCATGACAAACTCTGGGTGGTGTATCAGGGAGTTTGGGATGTACTACAAGACAACAAGGGTCCATCTGTGTACGAAGTGGGAAACAATGCCAATCTTACCTTGTATTCATTCCCATGGGGAATTCAGACTTGAATTTTTATCAGTTCTGAATGTTGTATGATATTTATGAATCCATAAAGGATTATAAGTACATGAGGGATATGATATTTACCTTTTACTTAGCAGAACATCCAAAGGACAAAGTGACAAATTGGAAAGGTTAGGACTGGAGGCCAGGAGCCTGATCAGGTAGTTATTGGAGTAAACCTGAGGAGACATTATTCAGCAGTGAGGACAGAAAAAGGCAGATTTGAGAGACAGTGAAGAGAATGGTTGGGACTCAGTTTGAAAGTGCAAGGTGCAAAAGAAGGGAGAAGTCTAAGAAATCCCTGGTTTTCTAGCTAGAATGATCAGCTGAATGGTCATACCATTCACTGAGAGAGTTATGGAGGAAGAACAGAACTAGGAGGAAATAAGGTGAACAGAGTTTTATACATACTGAATTTGAGGTGCCTTTGGCTTTCATTAAAATACTGTGTTAAGACAGACATGCCAGACCAACACCTGCTGCCGGCTCCTGCAGTGCACGGGAACTTCATCTTCTCTGAAAGGCTCCCCCAGTTGCTGTCCATTACAATGGGATTCTGGGAAAGTAAAGTTAGGGATTTCAACTTATGATGGATTCAATTAAATTTGACTTTAGCAAAATAATATTTTTAGTGTTCCTCTTATAAGGATCTAGCATTATACACGTGAGACACCCACACTCGGGGAGCATACTGGTGAGAAGACACAGCAAATGCAGCATTGTTACGACATGCTGTCAAGAAGCTTTTCTGAGTTCGTCACTTGTCATGGCTGTGACATGGCTGTCACATGTACTCTGTATAATCCTCTAATGTCACCTGCCTAATGTTTCTCTTATCACACTGCTTTGTAATCTCATGTGAGGATAGACTTGATCTCATTCACTGTTCTATCCCTGACATCTGGCAGGGTTGGCAGTGCAAGTAAATATCCGTTAAATGATAGGGCGTTTTATGCTTTGAAACCTATTATGTCCTTTTTGAGTGCTGCTGTCCACCCCACATTTTCTCCTGTCTATTCATGTATGCAATATTCTGGTATGTACCTTTCCTGTTTTACTTATATAATTATATGTGCACATGTGCAATATATGACATGTGTGATTACCATTATTTTACAACTTGAGCTCATGTCATGAACACTGGCTGAATTTTATTTTCACCCAGTAAATCCTATAGATTACACTAGGTGAACTGGTATTACTTAAATTTGTTCTTTTTAACATTTGTATAAAAGCTTATGGTATGGATTTCCAGTAATTTATTTAGTTATTTCTCTGTTCATAGATAGCTACCTTATTCACACACATATATCCTACCATACTGTTTTATTCTATATTTATAGAATATCTTTCCAGGAGTAGTTACCATGCCCAGCCAATATGTCTTTTCATTTATATGTTTGTTGACTGTTTGAATTTGTTCTAAATTCTTTCCCCAACTGTAAGGTTATAATTTTTTTGGTAAGTTTTAAAGCTAGGCCAGGCACAGTGGTTCATACCTGTAATCTTAGCACTCTGGGAGCCCAAGGCAGGTGGATCCCCTAAGCTCACAAGTTGAGACCAGCTTGAGCAAGAGCAAGATCCTATCTCTAAAAATAGCCAGGCACTATGGCAGGTGCCTATAGTCTCAGGTACTCGGGAAGCTGAGGCAAGAGAATCTCTTGAGCCCAAGAGTTTGAGGTTGCTGTGAGCTATGATGCCACACTCTACCCAGGATGACAAAGTGAGATTCTGTCTCAAAAGAAAAAAAAGTTTTAAAGCTATTTCCGTATTTTAGATGTTTTCTGTTACCTGTATTACAAATATCTTTTTCTAAATTTATATATTATTCATTGTTTATAATTTTTGCTCTATAACCGTAATTTTTTACATAGTTATTCTGTACTTTTTACCTTCTGGGTTTTCATGGCTTGGCCAGGTAGCTATGATATGTAGAAAGACTTTTTTGTGTATCTATCAGCCACATTGCCACGTTCCCTTATTAATTCTGATAGCATTCTTTCTCCTCATTGTAGTTCCTAGGTTTTCTAGGTCTGTGCTGTATCAACAGCAAAGAGAGTGTTTAATATCTTCCCTTTCAACATTTATATGCACATTCTTTTCTCTTAATCTGTGTTCCAGTCTTAGGAAGAGTGTTAGATAAGTAATATAGGAGTAGGAAAAAAATACCATGATACAAAGAGGCAAGTGTAAGGCTTAATTCGTTAGTTCCTCTAAATTATGGGAATGGTTACCATTATTTAAATTAATCTTACTCTAGACACTTAAGTGAGAATTAATGAGGTAATTAATTTGACAAATTCTTTTATACTGATTGAAAGTAAAAATTAAAACTCAATGGATATAGTTTGCTTTATGCAAAAAACCCTTAAAAACCTAGATTAACATAAAATATCAGCATATGATTATTCACTACTAGGAAATAATCAACAGATTGCCTTTAAATGGAAAATACACATGGTGTCTTTAAAATGTTGTTTCATTTAAACAATTTATGTATAACTCTTCAGGTCTGTTTCTTCTGATTAAAATGACACGTACCACACTATGCTATGTTTAAAAGGTTGCCATTAATAAATTAGGGAAAACAAAATTTTCTTAGAAATATTTTAGCAAGAATGTGAAAGAAAGAACTATTACTTAATTCCTCAGAGAGCTTTCTAAAGCTCTCTGATTTTTGGACAGTGACTTCTCTGAATTTTATTCTGTCAGCGAAAGATGATTTGATACTATCTGACATGTCTACCTCACAGAATGATGGCCAAGTTCAAATTAAATAAGATAATGTATATGAAAGTATGTGAAGTGTAAAGTGCAATGCAAATGTACACTAATATTATCATCAGATGCATGAATATCGCTGCTCTAGTTTTCTTTTTATTAATTTGATTGAGATGCTGTTTAGATGAGAAAAAGAGGAACTTGATCATTTGAAGAAAACTATCTACAGAACAGAGCTAAGCAATACCAACATTTTCTTTTCTTTCTTTTTTTTTTTTAAGAGATGGGAGGGTGGCAGGGGGTTTCTCACTCTGGCTCAGGCTGGTCCCGAACCCCTGAGCTCAGGGCAATTCATCCACTTTGGCTTCCCAGAGTGCTAGGATTACAGGTGTGAGCCACCATGCCCGGCCACAATACCAACATAGTCTAACCAGGAAATTGCCTTTTACTTTTAAGATTATTCCCCTTCCCAAGGTCTTGTTCTGTCACCCAGGCTGCAGTGTATGGCATCATTGTAGCTCACTGCAGCCTCAAACTGCTGGGCTCAAACATTCCTCTTGCCTCAGCCTCCCAAGTAGCTGGGAATACAGGTGCCTGCCACCAGGCCTGTCTAATTTTTCTTATTTTTTGTAAAGAAGGATCTCACCAAGTTGCCTAGGTTGGGTTTTTTTGACACAGAATCTCACTCAGTCACTCTGGGTAGAGTGCCGTGACATCATTGCTCAAACTTCTGGGCTCCAGCAATTCTCTTGCCTCAGCCTCCTGAGTAGCTGGAACTATACGTGCCCGCCACACCTGTGGCTAGTTTTTCTATTTTTAGTAGAGACAAGGTCTCGCTCTTGCTCAAGCTGGTCTCAAGTGATCCACTCTCCTTGGCCTCCCAGAGTGCTAGGATAATAAGCATGAGCCACTGTACCCAGCTGGTCTTGAACTGGCCTCAAGTGATTTTTTTTCCAGGGCTGGGTTTGAACCCACCACTTCTAGTAGGGCTAGCGCCCTCCTCCTTTGAGCCACAGGTGCCTCCCACCAGCTATTTTGTTGTTGTTGTTGCAGTTGTTTAGCTGGCCTGGGCTGAGTTCGAACCCACCACCCTCGGGGTATGTGGCTGGCACCGTAACCAGTGTGCTATGGGCACTGAGCCGAAAGATTACATTTTAGATAGAAAGTATTCTATTGATGCTTAGTAATAGAAAAGATAAACAGGAATGTTAGGGGTTAGTATGTGGGAAGGGGGGTGGAAATAGATTGAATATGGATAGTTTATTGACTGGAATCTTAGACTATTCAATAGATTTGTTAGAACATAAGTGCTTTGTGCATTCTCTATGAACTTTAATTTTAATTGCAATGGAGGCTTGGTACCAAGTGTTTTTGTTTGAAGTTCACTGTTATTTCTATTTCACAAGTGAGAAATATTGGTAAGTTTCAGTCAATTGTTCGTTTTCTAAAGTAAATTTAACATTTTATCTTAACTTTTTGTTTTCATTTTTGATAACAGATGGCATTGATGAAGATTCTTGTGCTAGTCGTGGTCCAATGAGTTTGGAAGAATTGGAGTTGCAGCCAAATTCTAACCTGGTTTTCCCCACGACACTTCTGACAGCACAAGAAAGTGATGTTAATTTACCAGTAGCAGCTAAAGATTTTTCTCAGGTACAAAATGAACAGCATTCGTACTTTACGTGAGATTTGTGGCAGTATTGCCCTAGCATAGAACTCTGTCAAGAATAGTCTTTCCAGTCAGACAGCCTCAAATCACGCTTCTTCTGTTTACTAACTCAAGTCTACATATAAATCTTAGCTTAGCCAGCTTCTAGCTGTGCCCTTGAACACTTTAATTAGCCTCATTTAAGCTTAATTTTCTTATCTGTAAAGGATAAAAATAATATATGCAATGTTTAGTGCCTAGCATGGCAGCTATTATCATTTATATTTCTGTATTTCCATGTAATACTTAGCTCAATAATTTGCACATAATAGATATACAATAAATGTTTATTGCATTAAAATTTGTAAAATGTGTTCCATGAAAGCATAGAAAATTTCATACTGAGTGGAGCCAATGACCCATGCAACATCATGTCCTGGAAAAAATAGGGTAATTGATCTCTAAGATGTTAATCTAAAAAATGTTCACCTTGGCTCAGCGCCCATAGCACAGTGGTTATGACGCTAGCCACATACAGTGAGGGTGGAGGGTTTGAACCCAGCCTGGGCCAGTTAAACAACTGCAACAAAAAAATAGCTGGGTGTAGGGGCGGCACCTATGGCTCAAAGGAGTAGGGCGCTGACCCCCTATGCTGCAGGTGGTGGGTTCAAACCCAGCCTTGGCCAAAAACAGCAAAAATAAATAAATAAATAAATAAATAAATAAAATAAAAATAAAAAAATAGCCAGGTATTGTGGCAGGTACCTGTAGTCCCAGTTACTTGGGAGTCTGAGGCAAATGAATTGTTTAAGCCCAAGAATTTGAGGTTGCTGTGAGCAGTGATGCCACGGCACTCTACCCAGGGTGACATAATGAGACTGTCTCAAAAAAAAAAATTGTTCATCTTATTAACTATAGTTTATGTACTGGCAATTCGTTCCTCACTGTGGGTTAATTATTCATTTAGTATTCTTTGCGCAGTACTGTGTAGCATTATTGTGGAAGAAAACAAAAAAATTGTAAGATAAAGATTTGTTTATGGAACACACCATTATAAAGTTCAGTATTACCAACCTGTGACCAAGCAAAGATTAGGAAAAACTAGTTAATGACAAACACATACCTATTGATAACTTTTGTATAAAAATAATTTGGGGGGGTGGGTGGCGCCTGTGGCTTGAAGGAGTAGGGCACTGGCCCCATATGCTGGAGGTGGCAGGTTCAAACCCAGCCCCAGCCAAAAATAATAATAATAATTTGGGGGACTATGAGTTAGGCAAAATTTTTGGGATATAATACCAAAAGCACTATCCATGAAAAAAAAATCTAAAAATTGGTCTTATCAAAAATAAAAACTTCTTCTCTTCAAAACACATGATTAAGAGAATGAAAGGCAAGCCACCGACTGGGACATGTATACAAATCACCAATCTCATAAAAGACTTATATCCAGAATGTATAAGGAACTTGTTGAACTTAGTATTAAGAAAACAATCTAGCTAATTAAAAAAAATGGCCAAAATGTTTGGACAGATACTGCACCCAAAGAAGACATGAATGGCAAATAAAAACCTAAAAAGAGACTCAACATTGTTACTCATTAGGAAAATGCAACTTAAAACCATAGTGAGATACCACAACACACAGTGGTTAGAATTCTAAAATTTAAAAGACTAATGAACTTAGTGTTAGTAAGGATACAGCGCTACTAACTCTCATACATTGCTGATGGAAATGTAAAATGATCCAACCACTTTGGAAAGGAGTTTGGCAGTTTCTTAGGAAGTAACATTTATACTCACTATAGAAGTCAATGTGTATTTCACTCCTAGCTTCCCAAGAGAAACTAAAACACATGTTTCCATAAAGACTTGTACATGAACTTTGTAGTAGCCACAAACCGGAGACGACAGAGGTGTCCATCAGCTGGTGAATGGATAAATCGTGGTATATTCTCTGAAAGGAACACCACTCAGCAAAAAAGGTGTATGCTTTTAATGCATGCAGCCAGGCAGTGACGCTTAGAAAAGTCAGGTTGTGAGAGAGAAGGCAAAAAGCGAAAGGATACTCTGTGACTCCATTTATATGAAATTCTAGAAAATACAAACTAATCTGTAGCAACAGAAACCATTTCAGTTCCTGCGGAGGTAGCTGGGGATGGAGGTGGGAAGGGTGAGAGGGAGTGAAAGAATGACCATTTCCCTTAATTGTTGGTTTGTTTGAAAACAAAATTATGAAGTGTTACCAAAAGAATGGGCCTCAAAATAGTCCTGTCTTAGATTTCTTTAGCTATGAGGAGGTGTGGTTAGTAGTAATACCAGCACTCATTTATGGCATTCTCTCTGCTAAGGGCTGCTCTAAGTTCTTTATGTATTTTAACTCATTTAACTTTATAACAACCTAATGAGGCAGTTATTATTATTCCCATTGTATAAATGAGGAAATTGAGGTAGAGGTTAACTTGCCCAAGGTCAAAGCTGGAGAATACCTTAAGCCAGTAGTTCTCAACCTTCCTAATGCTGCGATGTATTTTCATTGTTACAAAGGGGTCACGACCCACAGGTGACCCACAGGTTGAGAACCGCTGCCTTAAGCAGATTTGAACACAGGCCTGTTTCACACCTCCCACTTGCTGTGGGCAGGGAAGGGAACCAATAAGGAGGTTCTCAGCCTTTGTAGCACCAGCGATAGCTGTTTTACCCATCTTAGAAATACACATCAAGGCAGAAACCTATGTAAGTAATGGCTCTAAACTTGAAAGACCAAAGTTAAGACTCTGTTAATTACTGCTACTCAATTTTACTTGTATGTGAAGTGGTGTCTGCCAAAGCTGAAGTGGTTA